CATCATCTGTTCAAAACTAGAAAATACCCAACCATAAAAATAAAGTTTAACAAAATTATTTTCATTCCTTGCTCAAGAAAGAAGTATAAATAGATAGATGAAGAAATTAGCACCTGAAATGAAGCATCACAAATAGATCATGCAGATAGACTCATTCTAGAGTGATTCTTCCTTACACCTTCACTCTCCACACTCCTTTTCACTCATAAGTGTAGTTTTTATCTCTATAAGAACAACTTGCCACTCCACTATATGTCAATCATTATCCTCTATCTCCTCCCTCCAGAAGAAATTAAAAAAAAAACTATTCATATTTAACATAAATAGAATCAAGTGTTACAGCGCCAGACAAGGTGCTATCACAGTGTTACAATATGAACAATATCTATATCCATAACATTGGTGGCAATAATAGTAGATAATATAGTGGCAGTAGAACAGCAATAAATAGAATAATAAAATAATTAGATGGTAGCAATGTAATAATAATAAATAAGTTCATTAACTATAAGGTTAAACAATAATATTGAATCAATAACATGAATTCTAGTAATCATATTCAATAATATTCAACAAGTAAGTAAGGAGTTCGGGCTATTTCAATATTTTTTAAAATATTTTATAATTAGTAGTCGATAATCATTAGCTTAATAAATTAAGTGATAACTCATTACCTATTGTCACAGTGATAACTCCTTATAACTGCCATTCATTATATCATTGTATTACATGAATCAATAGAGGGTAACACCAAATCATTATATTTAAAGGAAAGCCTATTGGCCAATCATCATATACTGGTCCATCAATCTTCAACCAATGGTTCAACCAATCATTACTTATTTCAAACACACACACACACACACACATTATTATAAATGTAATAACGACTAGCTATTACCCATTTATATACCTACTTTTATTCTCACTTGCATTAAAAATATTTTTTTATTATATATTAAAATACTATTATGTGCAAATAAAATTAAATAGCATAATTTTTATTTTACCTAGTGAAATCTTAAAATTAATAAGCCAAATCATTAAGAATATTCAATACTATAACATATAAAATGTTGTACGATCAAAGCTTAATAAAGCTAGGGGAAATGTAAAAAAAAAATCAATTCAAATGAAATCAAATGATAAAAAAACAATTTTGACTATAGAGATGAGATAAATGTTCCTTACTTTGATCTAAGAAATTTTTGTAAAAGCGATGAATCAGATCAGCACCAAAATAAAAAAAACATTTTCTTTCTCTCGCCTCCTTCTCTTGATGTGGTTATGGAGTAACCTATAAATTTATGAAATAATTTAGGGCTCCATCAATCCCAAATAATACTTAGATTTTCTTTGACATAAAAACTATAAAAATCCCACTTAATAGATGTCAAATCAAGTAATATAATGGAGTAGAGTATCAATCTCATAAGGAAGATATGCTCACTTGCAAACACTAGTACTATCTAATAAAATTATAATAATTATCCCAATAAATAAAAATAATTGTTGTGGAGATTAAATCATTTAAATAAAATTAGATAAAGATAATGAATACGTTATATGGATAAAGTGTTTTTGATTTATGAATATAAATAACATATTTTTTCTAATTATTCTTTTTAATTCTGATGCTATTCAAAGCATATGCATCCCTAGATCTCTATCGAGCTTATAAGAACAAACGATATTCATTAACTTCTTATAATTATAGTATCTCCTTAAGAATTTAGTATATTTCATACCCTATACCTAGGTATGATGCATACTAATTCAATATTCCTATTTATGTTTGCTTTCCTCTATCGAGGCTCCATATTACACCAAATTTTAACTATACAAATAGCTACTATGTGCATTAAATTAAGATTTGATGATATTGAAAATATTATTTTAATTATTAAAAAATAAGCGAAATCATTAGTACTATATAAGATAATCACATCATCAATCCAAAATTAGAGAATTATGCTAGATATGGAGTAAATTTAAGCAAACCCATTTTCATTAATAAAATGATGGAAATAAAAAAAAGAGATAGATATCACCAGAAATGGTTCAATGGCTCCTCTACACTCTTTTTTACTTACAAAATTACTTCCACAAACACAAGCCAAACACTCTAATGATAGTATGAAGTACTTCCCTAAATTTCCTTAATTATTAACCCTAAGGAAAATTTAGAGAAACACTCTAAATTATGCTAAAAATATTTAAGTGACTGAACTTTCATGTAAACATAACTCAATGACTATGTATAGGAAAACACAAAGTTAGCCTCGAGTGTTGTTATGCCAAAAAGATCAGTGCTGCTATGCCTAACAAATAAATTAATGTCATTACATTACCATTTTGGCTCCTTCACGATGGTAACTGATAAGGATTAGTTACTTGGTGAACAATCATGTCATTTTACTTACAAATCCTTCACGATGGTAACTGCCTCGCCAACACAAACACAAAAAAAACAAAAGGTGGGAAGAGCAAACAAGAAAAAAGAAGACCAAAAGGAACAACTAAAAAGGAAAAGATCAAAAACAAGAGAAGCCCCTCAAATGGCAATGTGAGGATAATATGAATAAAATGCATAAATGTAAAGTCTTAAAGTGTGAATTTCATCCTTGTCAAAATGTTCTACTATTTGATTACAAGAAGAAGTTATGCCACAAAAAACTTGAATCTAGATTGGTTGGCCCATATTCTGTTATTAGAATATATCTCAGTGGTGCCATCATCATTCAAGATAAGAAAGCTTTTCACATTTTTAAGGTTAATGGTCAAAGATTGAAATCATGAGATTAGATGAATAAGAAATCTTTTAATTGGAGGAAAAGTGGATATATCTTTTTATCTTAATGGTACTTCATGCACTTATGTGAGAAAGTCGTGTACATAGTGGGAGAATGGCTTGTTATTTTTAATAAAACCCTAAATCATAGTTTAAAAGAACACTGATTATACTTCATACAGTCAGATATCAATCACTTACATTGGTAGAAAAGTGTATGTGCTCACAACTCAATGAATCGTGTCTCCTTTGTGATGTCGTCGCTACTGGCTAAATCTCTTCGATCTTCTTTGTCTCCATGGTGAGGAGGGGTGGCCAATGATCTTCTTCTCTCTCCGATGGGAATAGTGGGGGTAAAAAAGCTTCAAAGCATGGAAACTATTGGAAATTTTTGGAAGGAAAGGATTTGGATGTCTACGAATAAGTTCTGAAGGATGATCTATTGGTTGGTTCAATTTATTTTATAGCTAGGGCCTACTACAACTACCCCAAGAAAGAGGAAAATTACAGTTGAGGAAGGGGATTTGGGCCCCTCAATTATGAAATGTTGAGATCTTGTTATGTGTATTATATTGGCTATCGTAAATATATTGTTGTCATCTTTAAACTTATGAAGTTTCATAATGATAGAAGAACTCTGCATCTAAAGATGGGAAAAGGAATATTTATACTTTCATATGTTCTTCACTTCTAATTCTACAGGAGGAATGTCTTTGCTTGATTCTACCCATTGCATAAGTTGATATTTCAAGGAAAAGAAAATAACAATATTTCCAAAAACTAATTAGGATTGATAATTAACCTTCCAACATTCCATTTTTGTAATTTTGAAGTGAGAGATAGTATTAAATTTTGAATTTACAAACCACAAAGTCCTGGCTCAGTGCTACGGTGCTAAAGGTAGTGGTGCAGTGCTCCCTCATTTCTTAAGTTTTTTTAAAGATAATAATAATTTATACAACTGGTAATCCCTACTGATTTTACCTAAAATATAAACTGGGTTATCTCCCTAGTAGTGTTAATTTTAAAGTCATCAGTTAGACTTAATTAACTAACTAAACCTAAAATTGGGTTACCTCCCACACAATGCTAAGTTTATAATCTTCAACCAGACTTTCTAAAATTTTTCAAGTAGGTTGGGGTATATTATTTCTGTTGCAAACCTATTTTCATGTCTTATGTTTTGATGATTGACAAACACTTTTTCTCTTGGACTACTTGTTGCTTCTAACTTTTCAGGAATCGAAGATCGGACGATCAAGAAGAAGCCAAGTTCAGGATTGCGTAGGTTTAGGGTTAAGTCTTGCTTCCGCACTTTTAAATTCCGCATTTATTTTTGTGGTGTGATTTGGTTTGTGATTTTCTTTGTCTTAAGAATTTTTTTTTAAATATTAATTCACCCCCCCTCTTGGTTAGCTTGGGACTAAGTTCATAGGGCTTAACATCCCGAACGAACTTTCAATTTCCATTCTTTAAATAACTTCCATTAAGATCTTTTTCTTTTTATACTAAATTAGCATCCGTATTACACGGTAAAAAATCCTAGAGGTCTACTTGTGATTGAAATTGTAAGCTAACTTAATGATATTTCCAAATTTCTAATAAAAGTAGCTTGATTTTGTAATTGATTTCCTAAACGCATAACTATGTCCTCCAATTCTAGCTTTTTTTTTTTCAAATTGATTGCTTTGATTAAATCTTAGAGGAAATGTAATTCTAGGATTAACATCAGATTGTTTAGACATGTTCTAATTTAATCCTTCATTATTCTTCCCATTACTCTATTTATTATTACCACCCATATTATTTGCCCAATTGAAATTAGGATGGCTCCTCTAATCTAAATTATATGTATTTGAATAGGGATTATTTTGTCTTCCAATTATATTAATATTCTCTATCTCTTCCAAATTATTATCTTTGATTGAATTTTTTTCTTCTCAATATCCAATTCCAATTCTAAAATTCACTCATATTGTATTCAACTTCTTCAAAAGTACTGTGGCTTATGCAGTCAAGATTGATAAAGCATCAAATTCAAAAATTTTAGCTACTTTTTTAAGATTTACCCTATCAACAGGCTACTAGAAATTATTGGTTGTCATTTTCTCTATTAATTCATATACTTCCTCAAATGGATTAGACATTAAATATAACTCTAAGAGATCATAATAATTCATTATAAAAGGTTACAATAAATCAATCAGGTAATACATGATGCAGGCATTTTTTAAGCATTTCCTTGAATCTTTCCAAACTCTCATAAAAGGATTCTCCTTCAAACCGAGTAAAAGAAGTTATTTCACTTTTAAGATTGGCAGTTTTCGAAGGTGGAAAATATTTAGTAAGAAACATATGAACCAATCATTCCAAATATTAATAGGGCCTCGAGATAAAAAATTCAATAGCATTTTAGCTTTATCTCTTAGAGAAAAGGGAAATAATCAACATCTAATAGCATCATCATTAACACCATTATACATAAATATAACAAAAATTTCTAAGAAACTAGCTAAATATAAATTTATATCTTTTACATGATTTCCCCAAAGCTAAGATTTTTAAACCATTTGAATAATAATTGGTTTTAATTCAAAATTATTAGCTTGGATTGTTGGTATATGTATGCTCCGATGAATTCTAACTAATAGAGGGTTTGCATAACCCTTAAGAGGTCTAGGATAATTTTATTCTAACTCAAGATCAACAATCATTAAAATATTTTTGGTTTTTAAATTTTAGAAAGGGTCCTCTCTATTTTAGGATTAAATGGTAAAAGTTGCTTTCCATGCTATAAAGCATACAACCAAAAATATACAAGTACTAATTTAAGCAATAAATAATCAAAAACAATATTAAAAATGTAAGCGCATCTAAATATATAAGTAATTCAATAATTTAAAGAAATATTTGCAAAAAGTAAAATAATTTCTCAACAATGATGCCAAAAACTTAATGTGGATGTGGAGTAACCTATAAAACTATAAAATTATTTAAGGCTCTATTAATCCCAAACAATGCGTAGGTTTTCTTTGAGATAAACATTATAAAAAATCCACTTAATATATGCAAGTATACATGTCAAATACAATAATATAGTGATAGAGTAGAGTATAGATCCCACGAGGAAGATAAGCTCACTTGCAAACACTAGTACTATATACTAAAATTGTAATATTTATCCTACTCAACAAAAATAGATGTTGTGGACATTCAATAACTTAAATAGAATTAGATAAAGATAATGAATATACTATATGGATAAAAAAAATTATATTGATGAATATAAATAACATATTTTTCTTAATGAATCTCTTTAATTGTGATGTTATTCAAAGCATATGCAATCCTAGATCTCTGTCAAGCTTGTAGGGACAAAGAAAATCCACCGACATTTTATGGTTATATCATCTCCTTAAGAATTTAGTATATTTCATACCCTATGCCTACGTATAACATATACTAATTCAATATTCATTATTGTTCCTGCTTTCCTCCATCTAGGCTCCATATTACACCTAATTTTAACTACAAATATAGCCACTATATGCATTAAATAAAGATATAGTAATATTGAATATATTATTTTAATCATTTCAAGAATAAAATAACTCATTAGTACTATATAAGATAATTACATCACTAATCCAAAATTAGAGAATTTAGTCAAACATGGAGTAGAATTTAGTACACACATTTTTATTAATAGTGTGATAGAAAGAAAATACAAGAGAAATATGTCACCAAAATGGTTCAATGGCCCTCCAATATACTTCTTTTTTTTTACATACAGAATTATTTTCATAAATACAAATGAAACACTCTAATGATGGTATTAATTACTTTACTAAATTCCCTTAGTTGTAAACCTAAGGGTAATTCAAAGAAGTACTTTTAATTATATTAGAATTATATGAGTGATTTAGCTCTCTTATTAACATATAATAATATCTATTTATAGAAAGATGTAAAATAGGCATCTGGCGCTATGGCACTTGAAAGATCAATGTTGCTATGCCCAACAAATGAACTAATGTCGTTGTGCTACTATTTTGGATTCACCGATGTACTTGCTAACATGTATCAGTTACTTGGTAAACATTCTTGCCATTTTACTAATAGATCGTGCCCTTTGGAAGATATAACTCTACGCTCCAGCACTGCTTCCTTTCAAAGGTTGTGACACTAAAATGGCAATTTTGGTGCTGAGGCGTGACATATTATGATGCCACTATGCTGGAAAATAAAGTGCATGGTGCAAGAGAATTGACATTTTGTGATCGTGGCATTGTCTAATATAAAATTTGATGCAGTTATGTCAATATTTTGGTTCTTTAACATTTAAGTTTGCTTATACCATGGCATTTTTTTGCACGACTATATAGCGCTAGATGAGACTTTGAATTCTATATCTTTTTATTTTTTTCATCACAATACATCTAAAGCAACATATTTTTACTAAAAATATAATACATAAATTAATACATTACTTACACTTACCACAAAAAGTATTATAAAATAAAAACTTGAATTTCTATCTTAATTAGAACACAACAACATTGTGATTTTTAGCACTATGGCGATAGGCTTCAGGGTATAGTGATGCCAAAAAAATGCCATTGCAGCATTGGAGTCTCTATTCTACAAATATTTTGGATTAAACTTTATTCACTCTACTACTAGTTTATAGCATTGTGGTGGTAGGTCAAAGCACTGTGATTCTTAGTCAAAGCATTAGGGCAAGAGGTTGTATATAAATATAAATATATATAGTAAATTATAAATATCTCTATCACCCTCACCACTCCACTCACTCTTATGTGTATTGGCTGGGATGGACAGGAAAGGGAGGAAGGGAAGAGGAGAGAGGAAGCTCTCTGAGGCTTTCTATGCTGTCATTCCTATTATGGATTTTATTTTATTCATTGTAAGTAATTATACTCTTTTTATTTATAGTTTTGATTTCTATAGATTTTATCTCTCCTAAATCTATAGAAAATGTTTTATATCTTAATTTTGTGATCTTTCACCACATAACTTTTGGATTTGATCATTCTAAATAATATGATATAATTTTATTTCATTTTAAATGGTTAGAAATGTGTATATGAATTTTTAATGAAATGAGTAGTGCAAAGGTATACTAAAAAAGGGTTGAAAGTGAAGTAATGTGATTTGATATGTACTAGAATGTGATACTAATTTGACTAAATGGATGTGCTAAATTGATCTCAAAAAAAGGAAACACTAATTAATAGTACATGTATATGTTATGATAACCTTACATGATACCCTCAAGTTTTTTTGATGTCACTCATAAGGAGCTAGAGACTAATTGGAATTCATAAGGAGCCTAGGTGATTATTTCATGTGATTACTTTTTTGGAGTTATAAGGAATTCACTAATTGGTAGTTATAAGGGGTGACTGATCAGAAGTTACAAAGGTAAGAACAAGATCAAGATACCCTCATTTGAATATATGATATAGAGATATTAATTATAGATTACTGATATTGCGATACTGATTATTGATTATTTATTATTAATATTGATATTGTATGAATATTGATATTATGGACAATGATTATTATTATTATTTCTTATTATTATTGAATACTGATATTGATATTGTTGATGAATTGATATGTATAACTAATGGATTGGCATAAATGATTTAATGATAAGATTGACTAAAATTGATTAAAATATAAAGTTAGACTGATTCATAAATTTATATGATTAGCTGGCACAAATAATGAATATTAATGCATACTTTTTTATCTTATACATGTTATGACATACTATTTTTCTTTTGCATTACATTGAATTTAATTATAAGATTTATGGTTACTAGGTTGTATGCTCATTATATGGTTTCTACGTATTTTCTTTAAAAGGTAAGAACCCTATGGAGGGTAGCCCTGGATAGAATGCATAATTTTCTTTATAGTGATTTTAGTTTTTTGAAGTCATGAGGCATATGCAATAGAAATAAACTAGTCCATTTCAATCATGAAAATTGTATACAAGTTTATTTAGGGCTTATAATAATTATGCATATTGATGAATATAAATGTACTTATTTATTTTTGTTTTTTATATTAATAGATAAGCTCTAGTTAAATCAGGTAGATTAAAAGATATAATTCATCAAATTTAGATCCCATGGCTTGACAATTATCACCCAAAAAAAAAATTTAAGTTCCTTAAAATGAAATTCCCAATGCAATCAACTTTTTTATGTTTTGGAAACCTAAAAAATGGGCTGAGTCCTTTGAATTAGCCAAAATGATTGCATAGTGAGTATATATAGCTACAAAATTAGTTAATGAGTTAAGCTATATTATTATTATTATTATTAATATTAATATTATTATTATTATTATTATTATTATTATTATTATTATTTTATAGAAATTTTAAGTGAACTTACAAACAATTGAATAAGAATAGGTCCTATGAAAATCCCCTTTAGCCGACAGCCTTAGTTTGGGTTTATGGCTTTAATGGAGAGAGTTAAAGTCAAGTTCAAGGTTATAAATAAGTATTAAGGTGTTCAAATGGTCAATGGAATAAAACTAAGTATAGTTTTTTAAATCCTTGGTTGATAATTCAATTGGGTTTTACTTGGGATTTTCTTGTGGAAATGGTGGGAGATTGGTATGATTTTATGGATAAGGGTTAATAGAAGAGTTCTACATAAAGAAACAATAATTATTTAATAAAATATATGAGCCTAATACTCATCCAAGTGACTAGATTTAAAGATATCACTAAACCTCTTTAATGAAGGGTTAGCCACCAAGCTTCACTCATAAGGGAAAAACTCCAAAATTTTCTTCAATACATTGTCAATTACTACATTACTTTTACAAGGAATAATTATAAAGTTCTTATGATAATTAAAACTTCAAATAAAGAGAGGGAGAAGGAGTTTTTTGGGTGGGCCACATGAAAGAGTGCATATGTTGTTGAAGCACCTCTTGGCCAAAGGATACAACTCCCTTCTATGACCACTACAAGGGGATGGTGGTTTCATTTCATGCTACCAACAACCATTTGAACTTAAAAAGTATTTCCCATCATACTTTTCTCACCATAATTCGAAATTCAAACTTCATAAATGAAAATTTTTAATTTCAAAAGTTCAAAATTTCAAATTTCAAATTTTGTAAATTTTTAAAAATAAATAATTAAAAAAATAAAAGTTTTATACATCAGCCATGAACATAAAAATATGACTACTAATTGTTAATCTTAAATTGGCCTATTATCTTAGACCCTTACTACTTTAGCTTGCTTCCTTAAGCTATAT